ATTAAAGTATTACTGCTGGCAGTTTTGCAGTGCAGGCTGCTTATTCTATTGTTTACAACGTTTCTCTGCAAATGTTTTATATCAATAATAGGTAACTACAGGATGCTCGCTTTTACGTAAAACAAAAATGATAATGAAATTATAAATATTTGTCGAGAGATTGCTAGTTAAGTACTTTGCCATTCGTATACTATTATTACTATGTAATACGCACAAGTGTTTTAGACACATAGCACAGAAATGCATATAGATATTGTTGTTATACAAGTACTCTTAATTGGCGTAAAGTAGTACTTTAATAAAGTGCGTAGAAGTACTACTAGTTAATTAAACTTTTTGTTTGAGAAATACTACCAAATGTTTGTCTAATAAAACATATTTTAAATCTATTTTATCTGTACTTGTTATAAAGTAAAGCCGCTCGTATGTATGTACTGTACATGTATGTTCGTGATAATTTAAAAACAATGGATTTTCCTGCGGTTTTCAGTCAATGACAGATTAATTTTTGAAAAAGGTTTTGTTATATACATACTTTGCTACGGTTTAAACTATGTATTAATTGTGTATTTTATAAAGGTGTAATCTAATTTATGTACCCGTATGAATAAGGATCGGGTTCCCATTCATATCGTTCAATATGAATATTATTATCATAAAATCTAAATGAAAATATGATTCATATACGATATAGATTTGCTGTGCCGCCCTAAGTGGTAGATAAGTAATATCTGTAAAAAAGGAAAAAGATATTACGCTAGGATAATTTGTTTGAGATATGACAATTTCTTATCAAATATAGGTGTATTTTTAGGGGTGTACATACCTCAGACATGTCTCTCATTTTGTTCAGATATTATTGTTATTTTATAAAACTTCGGCAATAATTTATTGAATATTGTTTTGTTATTAGTAGATTTTTATACCTATACCTAATTCCTTTTTAATACAGTCAAATTAATAAATCTATCATTGATTGATTTTTTGCGCTCACCGCAAGTAATAATACAGTGAATATAACGAAGTCATTTATAGATAAGTTATTCGCAGGAGATCATGTGATTAGGTCATCACATTTACAATTCCAAATGAAGTCGACCTTACTTAGATATGGCCAATGTTTTGCAAATCATTAGAATTCCATGAAGTTTACTTTCCTCTTGACTTTTGTTGAATACGTAAATATAGACATTACGTAATTTTTACTATGGTTTCTTACAATATATTTATGGAAACCATTCCTATAGGAAAGTTCCTTGAATATTCAAGTTTATCAAAAATATAATATAAAATATAGTCAGAGCTCAAAGATGTATAAATATTGTATTAGGGAACGATATTTCATTACTGTTGTTGTCTGAATAATTACGTTGTGTATTTTTTAGATGAACATGCATGCTGCTGTCTGCGGAAATGGCATGCTCGGGTAGCAATGGAGGATAATTGGATGAAGGAGATTTCTTCAGTAATTAACCACGATGCTTTCCAGATAAGGATACTTTGTATGCTTTACTAGAAATATAGTTGAAGAAGGTGTCTTTAGTGGTCCGTAGTAATGCTGTACATTATCGGGACACCGTGCAGTAATGGATTAAAGAGAGGGAATGTAACATGTGATCAAAAAAGCTATAGTATTCTCATTATATCCAATTTTGATAAGATTTATTTTTTATATGCCGATGAAACTATTTTTGTTATGCCCTCGATACTTGACGCTTCAAGCATCCAACTTTCATTATGACTACTGTTTAGTAATCTCAGTTATTACAGAATAAATAGTAGGTATATAATAAATAATAGGTCCCTATAGGCAGGAACTTAATATTAATAGATACGTAAAAAGGTCTCCTAAGTAATATACACACAATCTGAAGTTTAGAAGTTAAACTACGGTCCCGTATGCTGATCTCTCCTCTTTCGAGCTCATGAATAATTTATAAAGGTATCTGATTTTCTTCGCAATTTAATACCATAAGACCTACAAACTTCACAGCAAGTATACTATGGAATATTTAAACATGGGGCACTTTAATATTTTATAATAGATAACATTTTTCACTTAGATTGTAAATAACCTAAGTCTTACTTACTTAATTAACCTATGTATTACTAAACTGTATCTATATTTAGGCTTATATACCACTGTTAAAGAAAAGCGATAGATTAGCTCGCGGAAGGAAGTTCTGATCGATGCACCAATTATTACAGACAGACACAAATGCCCCATTACGTAGAACCCGCTCCCCTGGCACTTTCCACGTCCTATGCCTAATAAAATGGATGGTATAATATCGTAAAATCTAAGGGTAGCCTTTAAACTGGTAATATAATATATTTGATATTACTTTCGTGTGAATATAAAAAGAAACTTCGGCGGTAATATAAATTAAGACTTCGTTGACTTTCGTTATTTTGTACAATAATTAAGTATATTCATACAATAAAAAAGAAGTAATTTATGTTAAGAATTAATAAAGTACATTATGTACTATGTGATACATACTTTAAAGACAGTTATAATTTTATTAAAATTTTCATAAATATTAATAACACGGATGTAGAAATGGGTGAATTTGTAAAAAATAAGCTGTATAAATAAAGTTCCACTTTAGGTATACAAAATAATAATGCTTACGATTTTCTCCCATAACCTTTTAACTAAAGTATGTGATATGTATTATTTTACGTAATAAGCAATATTTAATTATTTTGTATAAAAAGGAAATTTTATAATTGCTAGTTGTACTTTGTCGATTTTCTAATACATACAAAATTATCGTTTGAGTATTATTCTCTAGTTATGTATATCGTAACTATGAAGGAAAGCGAATTGTTTGAAATGTTGTACACGATTTGCGTGGGCCCGGCACTACATTGGAACAAACGAGCGCAACAATAGTGCCCATAGCCTGAAATAACTTAGTAAATAAATGTAGCCATGCGGTCTACTTTGATATTGTCAACTCAACCCATTTATCAATTTCAATGTCACTATAATCAATCATTGTTTTAGTCTATGCATTTGTAAAAGACACTGATGTGCATTTAAGTACGTTTTTGTATAAATTGATAGGTGCTTTATATTATTATTTGTATTATTATTTAGACCTATAACATATAAATGGTTTTTACTAAAATCTAGATTAAATAAATGTCTAGAAAGTATATAAAGGATGTATAAAAGGGTTACAGCATTTTTGCATTTTGAATCATTATAATATAGCGTTTGTAACATCACACCTAGCGTAAATAACTGATTGGGAGATATTTAGTTTTCAGTGAGGTAGATACTTGTTTAGTCTACCGAAAACTCTGTAACAAAGGGACAATAAAATAATAAAATCGTCATTACAGATTAATTGAATAGCTGATAAGTAAATTTATTATTACGTGTCTTTTATCATTTTGTGAGTACATATCAAATGAATCATTATATTTAATGATACCGTCTTTGCTGTATAAAATTTTATTATATCTCAACGAGATATCATAAGGCATTAAATGTTGTTTAGCTAAACTGCCACCTAATAGTACAAGTAGCTTTCCCTCAAGCCGTATTACGTGCAATTTATATATTTATAAATTCAATAGTAGAGCTATAGGTACTAAGTAAGTATAATGTATTTCCGCAAATTGACACCGAACTCAATTTATCAGCGGTGGCTAGCGACCCTCATTCTGTGTCAATAGCTCAATATTGGAGGTTATTTATTATCGAAAGAAATTTAACCTTATAACTGGCAACATTCCAGAGTTTATGTGATTCCTAAACATAAAATTGTTGTTGTTACCTACCTGAAAGGAAATCTTGCATTGTAACAGGAACAACAGTGGGGTTCAGTGACAACAGGCGACGGTCTGCGGGCAATCACCCTATTTTACGAGCGTGCCAGCACAAAGGTGCATTAGAGAAACAACAGGAACTAGCGAGTTGCGAGTACGCCTCTAAACCTGGCATGAACTGGCGATTATGATTTATGTGCGGTTAATGCAAATCTGCATATTATAGTTTGAAAGACGCAGTTCGATTTCTATGCTCAGATCAAGAGGGGGACATGGACAAAACAGTTGATGAAACCAGCGCAGCAGAGCCCGTTGATCTCTAGTTATTGTACTGAATTACAATTTTGTTTTAATTTATTTAATCCTGTGTAAGAGCATACTTTATAAAAATTCTCCAATAGTTTTTAAAAGTTGTTCTTGCGATATTTCATTAGCACGAATCTACCGGGCTCTCGTCGTTTAAGTCCAACTCACATTGAGTTGGACTTACTTTAACCCATGCGTGAATACGCATGGGTTAAAGTGCTAAAGTAATTTATTACATTTACATATACAATTATCTATGCTATTTTGGTTCTGTAAAACTATATGTAAAATTTTCATTACATTGAGAATATAAGCTACGTCACGAATATGTAAGAGCGTTTGTAGTTGCCAAAAACGTCACTGTAATCAAGTGATTATACATAAAATATACATTTATATTTAAATATTATCTGTAGGGCATCATAGTTGTTATCTGAAGACATTTTATATTTCAACTAGAGATATTTTAGCGTTCATTATATGATGGCATGATAGCCTATGGTCAATCAGCTGTTCCTCTTTGTCCGTTGCCTGATCGTTATGGTGTCGATATAACACCATGGAGTACATCTTGGTCTCACTAGTACACAATTTAGATAAATCAAAATAAATAGCTGATAACGCCAGCACTACGTTGTTATCAGAAACTATAATCCTCAAAACGCGATATATTTAAAGATAACAAAATATATAAATAATTTTAAGGTTATTAACGTGAATACACGTATAATTAATAATCATCATTAATGTAACCATAATTAGTCGCGATCTGGGATCTAATACAAGAATTACATTATTTATGAAGAGAAAATGTGATAAAATGTAGTCACCATAATACAAGATACAATTACAAGTCAAGAACATTAATATTATTATATGAAGATTACACATTAATATATGAAGATACTTACTCTGATAGTGTCGTAAATTCCATTTCGATCAACGTTTGGTTCATTTGTAGTAGCGTCTGAAGCGCTGAGCGGCTCAAGGTGCGTTCGTGTGGTTGGCTGTGGTAGTGGAAGCGGTTCGCCATTTCGGATCCAACTTTGATGAATTTGCCAACTGGTATCCGTAAATCTTGGTCGGTCCTATTAACAAAGAATATTTATTTAAATTGAAGTAGACATTGCATAGTATCCGTGGACACCTCTGTTTCATCTATTTTCACTGCCAAGAAGCTTGCGTTGTGGGATGTGTTTCTATTGAACGGTGGGATAAGACAGTGTATGGAGACGTTTTTCGTTTTGTTTGTAAAGAAGAAAAAAGAAGAGTGGATTAATATTATAGTTTGGCACTTTCTAGAGCGATTTACATTACATTGGTAAGGTATCATTCAATCATCAACATCTCATCAACAACACAATTAGATTTTGCTTCGTGACGAATCCAAATTGGCATACACAGGATAGAGCATAATAAAAATGGTAAGAGAATCCCGTAATACTGAAATAACGTATAAGTCTTACTATATTTCTGACCTCTTTAGCTACTATATTACACTTATACATATGAGTGCATCTGTACACGGGATGCAAATAAGCATAGTACACAAAGCTGATTGAAGATTTTACTACAAAAAATTTAAGAGTATCAAAGTAGGATACATCTATTTAAATGTTGCAAATTGAATTAGTGTAAAAAGAGAAGTATGTCATTTGTCACGCTATTAGCATGTTTGTATATGTAGATGCTCTCGGCGCACTCGCGGCCAATTCCGATAACAAAAGACTTGAAGATCCGGGAGTAAATGATACACTCTTTAAGTACAGATTTTTTATCTATCTGTATTCTATTCCCATGCCAGGTCAATTTGGGGAAGTGAAGATGAGTTGAATAATTTTATTACTTAGATCCTAATATTATGAATAGATAACAACAAGTAATGTAAATATATTTTGGAAGATTTTTCAATGCCCAGAGATCTACTAAAAAATTTTACATACATTTCTATGGTTACCTAAAAATGTATAGAATAAAGATAATTTAGAAGTCTAGACCGGAATAGTAGACATTCTTCTTCACGGTCAAAATCGCCGGATATTCTACTGATGCACAATTTAAATACTACTATTCCTACACAATATAATTAAAAGTAATGTCCTTTCTAAAACCAATATGTAATCGCTCTTATGTAACAAAATTCGCAAATCGATTGACCTTGTTCAGACAACATGGCGCACTTGGCATTCCCATCACGTTTTCGGCTCTCAGTTGGACTTCTTTGTAATACAAAGGTTGCACAGGATATTGGTTATAACTAATCGAAAAAGGCATGTAGCTCGCGACTAGGTAACCTAATGACACAGTAAATGTGCAAACCACGTTCAGTTGTTCAGTACTTTTCAAATATTATTGCTGTAGTGACATACATAATTTTAGATTTCCAATCAACAACCTACTAACATGGCTATTACTTACATGACTATCTATGTGGCTAAAGGCCCTAATTTTGAATGTCAGCGTAAAATGTAGCTTCAAATTTATGTGGCGCAGGTACCGAGATCCAATCCAGATAATTTGAGTGAAATTGAATAATGATTGGTTCGATAACTTTGGTGCCGCGGTAGTACTTTGAAATTGAGTAGTTTTATTACATTTTTATTGAAAGAATAAATTTGATTGCTTAAATTAATTAATTTGTAGCGATTATTAAAAACGACTACTTGATGTTTGTACCAAGAATAGTATGTGTGCTGTGTATCAAAGCTACCTAGTATTAAGATCGCTAAATTAAGAATAAACACAATTTATTGTAATCGTAATGTGTAATGTAATGTAACACTGCAAACTAATATATATAGATTAGTGATGCGCCGATGTTATGAGAGTAGCGTTAGGTTGGGTGAGGTACTTCTATATTTCAAAATATGTTCCACATTTTGTGAAAATAGCACAGCGGATTAACGAGCAGGTAGATAAGATAATAAACAAGCCACGTGGGTTGCATGGACCGCACTCGCCACAAATGCAACGCGATGGTATTAGTTAAGGTTGCCGACCTAATACTTCTAGCCTTATTCAAAAGAGGTCAAAGATCTCGTCCTTGATTTAATTTAGCTCTACGACATCATACATCATGTTTTAAATAACGCCTATTAGTATAATTAGACTTGTTACTACAATAACTGTTGCTTCATTGTAAAATTTATTCATAAATTTCCATAGGTCAAAATCGCGTGTAAAATTGTACGACGATAAAGATGTCCTCATACCTCGCACCCCATGTCTAAATATCTTGTTATTTTATACGAGGATTTTCATACAGTTGGCATCCCTGGGTAATAGTACACATCGCTAGCGATGAAGGGCACACGTGGGCGTATGCACTCAATATTTCGTTACTACTTTCAACACGTATGGACGAGATAAGCCAGCTCCAAGATTTAAAGTTAAAGTAAAGTTATCAACGCAAAGATGCAACACATTTCTGATGCGATTAGATTGTTTAATGAATGGACATTTTGTCCTTTTGAAGGACCGATATTAACGGAATTTGATTTGTAATTGTGTGTCATCCCTAGGACTCTAATATAGTAAGTGATTTCTTTCAGAAACTTTTTATTTCAGGTGATATGACCTGCTTAAATAAAATAAAAAACCGAAATGCACTAAATGTATATTTTCTAATGGTTCATTAGTCTGAGATGACTATGAAATATATCTGCAAAATTTGCTTGTCATTTTTAACCAGTCATATGTATTTTAAAAAAATACTAATATTACAAAGAGAGAGAGAGCGGTTATGGGGAAAGTAAACTCCAGAACCATTGCACCTATTTGAGAAAATCTATCACTATTTGAAATATATATGTATTACAGAGTAATATATTTTATTTTCGGCCTGAGGCGGGGTCGACTACTAGTTATTTATAAAAGTCCGTTCTTTTGTAGAATAATAAGTCATCTTATTATAAAGTGATATTATTGATAAAGTGGGTAATAAATAAATTTATATCATGTTAAATTTTTATGTACTAGTAAACGAGAAAGATTCAATATTTAATTCTATGATTTTATTCAGATTAATAATTAAGGGAGAGCAGTGCCCACCTCAACATATCTCTATAGTGTATCTTTATTTATTATATTTATATAGATGATTGATTAATTTGATTAAACTGAAACACATCGAAACATATTTTCTAAATAAACATCACAATTTTAGTTTACATAATTTTTTCTTTTGATGTTAAGATTTGATCGTCAGAATTTCGATTTTATGGATGAAAATTAATAAATAACATGTTTTAGTGGTTCTCACAGCCATCACCTATTCAAGAGTATGAGGGATGATCCTGCGAAACATCAAAACTGTACAGGTTTATTACTTTATTTTTTTGCCAAGCTTTGTTTTAATAATTAGATATATTTCATATCTTGCGTGTCTGTCTATATTGTTATATACATATGAAAGTCATATGATAACAAAAATTGTATAGATAAGGAAAGGAAGGCTCAAAAAATGGACCGTGGTCACTATCGTAGTAGTTGGCAATAGAAGTTCATCATAATACTCGAACGATATACAAAAGATTCGTGTGTACCTAATTTATAGTTTTAAATAGTTCGGTACAAAATTAAATACTACAACGACCTCATTCGCATTCATCGCTCAGTTTCGGAAGTCTTATAATTATATTGGATTAGGTCACATGTGGAATTAGGGAAGCAACATTTATTCATTCTATTTCAATAGTTTACTACATCATCTATCGTGTTGATCGCATATCTACTTGCTAAGCAAACAAGGGCCAAGGACAATTGGTTAACGGGCATTTGCAAATCGATTAGGTAGAGATAGCCGGCTGTAGTGTATTCGTTACACTCCATTCTACCTCTCTGGACTCCTTTATCCTTCTATGTCATCTTTGAAGCCCGTTTTCTATGCAAATAGGTGCAGTCGAACAAAGCCGATACTGGTTTTCAATCACTATTGAATAGACCTGCGCTCGCGTCCGCAAATCTTGCTTCAAACCTAGATATTTGTTTCAATGTCTGATATGATGTATATTATTTAAACAATTGTGTAAATAACTTCTAGTAACAATAAAATGTCCGAATGTGTAGTAACTGTGTTTACCCACATACAGGTCTAAAGACAAATATTTTTTATTGCGTTGTAAATAGTATCAGAATATGTTTAGTTATAAACTTATGCAAATTAAGTATCGCGATGAATGGATTAGGTACATTTATAGAATACGTCGAGTTGACAATAAGTAACTTAACTTATCTTTGCAACTTAAAGTCATTAAATTTTCATAACCACTTGACACTCTCACGATAGTGATGTAATCATTGTAGCGCATAATAATTTAAAAGAATTTTAATTGTAATGATCCTATTGTCAATAATAACCTGATTCGAAGGCAAGCCATACAGTTGAAATACACATATCTAAGTATTTACCATACTTGTAAACAAGAAGCCGGATTCCTATTTTCGAATTGCAAAATTGAACCTTAACTGACTAAACGCTTCGGAACTGTGCGCCGTGGCCTCCGCTGATAAGATAACCTTGCCTTTCAATTTATTCTACTGAAACGTAGCAACATCTAGTCTAGAAAAACACTTGTAATTACGCTTATCAGCTATCGAGAAATAAATAGACACGATATTATATCTAAAGTTTACACTTCGCTAGTAAATTTTAAGTAATGTAGATTTCTGAGAAACTTGAGTAATCATTTAATAATAGTCTACAAAATATCGAGTTTCATAAACACAAATACAAAATAAATGCTAGTATCAAAAAAGAAAGTGTCGACCATGCAATATCACACTGTTGAACGGGGGTGCTAATTTGTTTTTAAAGAGAGAAGTGGAGGTAGGGTGCAGGTACCTACCTCATTCTCAAAGGGATCGTCTGTGGGTGAAACCCGTTTTTGTTTATCTCGGCTGAACGACAAGCTCCTCTTAAACAACTTCATCTTTGAGACGTCGCCGGCGGCGGTTCGCAAATGTCATCTCATGAGCGAGCCTCAGACGATAAAACACCACATCATTTGTTTGTTACGACATCAGTATAAAAACATTTTTAAAGTGGCTATAATACAAGCGCGCCGTCTTTACTCAGGAGTTAAAGACAACGGTTGTCACGCACCATCACTGGGAACCGCCAAGTTACACGCGATTTGTTCTATAAAATCGCGTAAACTGGCTTCAATAACACCAACCACTATAAAGTAACACGTGAGTTGACAGTTGGCCGCGCATGCTCGTGTGGATAGTATAATGTGTGCGGACAGGTCGCGGGCACGCGGCGCACTGGTCCGGCCAGGCCCGGGGCGCCGCGCTACTCACCGCCACAAAGCGTCACCACGGCCACACTGTGGCAGCTAACTACCGCACCGCCTCCGCACTATTAATTCAGTACTATAACATCCCCAAACCCTAATACACCTAAACATTTATCATAATCTAACATCCAAACCCCTCACAATTTGGCTGACATACACTAAACTATGTACCTAATAATAGCAATCTAAGGTAATAGCGCTGTTTCACGTCTTCGGACGACACGATTAATCAGCGGTGACATGTTTGTATATAAATTGGTGATATCTATCTTGTAATCAACAATGTTTTAATGGCATAGAAATGTAGAGATACTACTGTAACATTTAAAAAGCAGATAGGTACAGCCGAGAGAAACCTGCAAATACAAACTCATCTAGTACCCTTTACAAATAAACATTTTGTAAGTTGTGTTAAAAATAAGTTAATACCACACATAATATTTATGAGATATTAATTAACACAAATAATAATTTTGATATATAACTTTGATATTTTCGAAATTTGCAATATTTAATTTTAATATTTTCTATAAAGTATATTAATAAACAGAACTACGTTAAGCGTTATATATAATTTATACAGATTTTGCATGTATTTTTAGGATATATCACTTTGTACTAAATATATGCACTTACAATATTATTACTACGATTAAAAAGCAGGATGTAGGATGTTCATGTTGTGTTGAAGTAGAGTAAGATAGAAGAACACAATGTGTCACATCACTCCTTTTCAATCTCTTATTTCAGTATGTACTGATATTCCGAGCTTTAAGGGACTTATAAATGTTGCCTATGCTAAGTGCCCATGTTGAATACACTTTCTAAGAGTTTCTGATAAAGTAGTAATTACTGTAAAAACAGTTTAGATTTACCTACTATTAATAGATGAACACATAACGTAATAATATAAGAACTAATAAATAGAAGGTATTCCTTTCATAAGCTTACCTTCAATTGCGTAAACACAGCATCCGCGATTGTCGTAAACAAAGTTCTATAAACGGGACAGCCATAGTTACTCCCAGTTTGATGTCAATCAAACCGCACGTGTTAAGAATACTGTTTAGATTACACAGACGTCGATATACGCATCAATTTACATGTGAATGCATTTGAATTTTTAATTAACTTATAGTTAAATTATATACAGACATACATACATTAGTATTGTGTAATAATACAACACTTACTTGCGCAGGAATCGCTCAGTAACAACTGAATATCACAGCGTTCGTCAGTCACAAATATTTCATTATGAGCAATAAATTATAATTGATTATGGCCACAGAGTTTGAGCTTAGGACCGCTGTTTATTTCAGATATATTTAATAAGTAAACAAACAATATATCATGAATTAGTACTTTGTTTACATATATTTTATCAGTATGATGATGCAGTAAGAATGCAATGTTTCACGATTAGGAGAATAAAGGGCAATACACCAGTGCAAGGGACGGAAAATAGTACGTATCATGAATATAAATTGGTAGATCTATTATTTAACTAATACATTAAATTCAATCTAATATTATAACTTAGTAAATGTTTGTATATATTCTTACTGAATAATACTTAAACATTATAAATTTAAATTGGAGATCTTTGGGGGAGGCCTATGTCCAGCAGTGGACGTCTTCCGGGCTGCGATGATGATGATGATGATGATGATAAATTTAAATTAAGGTTCATAGACATAATACATACTTTCTAGATTAACACATTAAACACTTTTATATCTCGCTCTGGCACTGGCACTAGAGCCACATAAATAAACCAATTGCCTGATGGCATGAAACTCTATATCCTGGGAAAGTAGACAACAAACAACATAGTACCACAGTAGTAGTAGTACTAAATGTTGAACAAATAAACCAGAGCCAAGTATTAGAAATTTTATTACAGGAAAGGGTGATTGTTTAGTATTGGGAATTATTAACCCCATTGCTAGTATTGTCATGACAGGTTGACATTCATGCGGTACTTCTGAAAACCTTCCCGGTTAGTTCCTGGTGCTGGTGAATGCATAGTCCTCCACTGGTACCTCGCCAGCATATATCGTTAGCGAAGCCTGGTGTGTCGTACCATATTTATCCATAAAAAAATAATTGGTAATACAATTTTCCCATAATAGCATTAAAGAAACGATAACGTATCATTACATCCTAAACGGTGTTTGGTCAGTAATCAAACAGGAAAGGGAATATGTGTAAGGAATGTAGCACTGCGTGCGTCGGTGTGAACCTGCTAATGTTTGTATTGTACTTAGAGCTTTCTAAATCCTTGCCCGAGGTTTACCTTTCCAACCGTTGTATTTTAAATACCTACAGTATAACTTATTGTTAAGATCTACGGATACTTAATACATTTTAAAACATTATTATTAATTTAAAAAAAAAAGAATTTTTTACAAGTATTTCATAATATAACGGTACTTACTATCTTCCATTATTATATTTTTTCTAATTAAGAATTTAATTTATGCATATATGTATATACACATATTTATTATAAGCGAAGTAGACCGTGGACATTACATTTTATATCGTATAAAATTAACAAAATATCTAAATACGGAAACCGAAATAGAAAATATTTACGAAACATAGCAGAATAATTAATTGTTATAACACAGGTACATATACTTTATTAAATAACTGTTAATACGCTACAGTTCTAACGGTACCAAACGAAAATACTATACTATAATGAGGCAAAGTACGGGACACAAAATTTCACCGAAATCGTTAGAGTAATTTAGAATGCATAATATAACACATATGTTGACGGTGACGTCGTGAGACACGCTGTGACCCGCCGCCGGTCGTGCCACTTTCTTGCATGCCACCCATAAACGTAATGGGGGGTAATTTTAGCAATTTCCAGCTGCCAACACACATTTATATCAGCCATATCTCGCAGCTCATATCCACGAGAGTTACCATGAGCGCCGAATATGAAAGTTAACGATGTGGACCCTTCCGACAAGAGACTCCAGCAGTAATTGCATTAAATTTATATATTATATATACTTAGGTGGCTGTAAACACAGCCATTACCGGTTAAACCCAGTATACAGAATGTATAATTTTTGTATTCATTTCATTATAATAACTGTATAAGTCCATTAGGTACTGATAGCGTTCCTTAATGATTCGATCTTCACCCGCTAACTTTATTTTATTGTGGAGTTTGACTTATTATATTGATATTTTGCACTGAAATCAGAACGGTAATAATTTATTAATAATTTCATAAGCGATAACTCTTTATATTAATAGCAGCTGAATGTCGCTAGGCTCCGTATATTATTCTATGTGTTAATGTCTCCAGCCGGTATTTTTCGCGTGAAAGAGTAATAAATATTCATCCATAACCTAATAGATTACTGTATTCCACCAAGTGCTAACAGTCATTAACAACAATATATATCTTATCCATAAAACCCATAACAACTCATCACAGGGCACCGATCTCTCGCCATAGGAGGAGAATATCAGCCTACTATTACCATGCTATCCAAGCGGATTGAAATAGGGTTTTATTACCAGTTTTCCCTTTATTGTACCGATGCTTTATAAACTACTGTTATGATATCTTGAATACATAAAGGAGTGATACTTCGTATTCTTACTACGCCACCACATAATAAATTAATTTACAAATTTAAAAAAACAACAAGGCATAGTAATTCTACAACTAATTAACATTTTAAAAATTTATTAGCCACAGATAAATTTATATAAATCTGCCACACGCTATACTTACACATACAAACAACAATTTTCCCGTAAATTGGTTCGAATAAGTTAAGTCATTCGTTAGTATTAAAAATAATATAGCAAAATTCTTCGTTTAATAATACTATGTGTATAAAACTTAACTTCATACGATTCTATTATTTAATCTCGTAAGTATATATTTATTCCTGAGTTAACATCTACCAATCAGATCAATTTACAACAGTGTTGTATAGGAACAAAATATTTCAATACTGAAAATTCATATATAAAACAGACAATTTTAAATATTGAAAACAAAGATAGTCGTGGAAATATGTATAGGCTGTGTATACCTTTATTGGTATTATTGCTTTGTTACCCACCGCGCTTTGTAATTGCTCTAGCAGTTGGGCTGCATTGGCTGGGTCTGCCAACTCTATGGCGCCAGATACCTGCAACAAATATATATTTTAAATAGGTCAGTCACATACTGCATTTTACCTGGGCAGTTAAAAGGCGCTGTTCTTGTATATAGTTTATATTCCATATTTATTTAGAAAATCATACCTAATGTCAAAAATAGTACTAAATCTACCATTATCTACTATCAGGTATCAAATGAGGGATTTACCGTTAAATCTAGCTTCCGAAATAAATATGACAAAACTTATTTAGTGCCCTTTATTTTTTTTTTAAGTAGAAATGTAGAAATTAGTTTCTGTTTACTTACTTTAAAAAACATTTTTGTTAATAATAAAAGAAATCAAAACTAAAATGTATGCCGTATACATAATAAGGTACGGACTAAAATCGGAATTGGGTTCCGTTTGTAGTTATTTTTCATTGACATAATTTCGATATGACTTTTATAGCTGTAACGATTTAAAATTAGGTAACACGAAAAATAGGTTTCGAACACAAATACAAGTTGCGCCTACAGAAATAGAATTCAAAATTATTTAAAAAAATTTTGTTTACCGTCACGTTTTTTTTTATTTTAGAAAGTGGAATTAATATCTTGGCACTTAAATAATCTAATAAAACCGAAAATGGTTTATATTTATAAAGTGACACATTACATATTCACTTGTTGCTGTCGTTGCGAGTAAAACATCCCTTTCAGAGATGACAGGGATAAATAAAAAACAAAAAAAGGAGAGATAACATGCGGCGAATTGATAAATAAATTACATTCTTCCTTTATCTCAAACCTCGAGGCGTAATCAGTGTACGCATAAACGAAGCGGTGTCTT